ATAGGGATCATGATAACCAGGTGGAAGAGATTAAGTACCTAGCCCAAGTTCTCACTGCTCATAAGTGGTCAGGTTTTCTGTTTGAAATCAGATGATCGATGTGTTATCCTTCATGTGAGTAGAATGTGTGATTAGTTTTGGGAACATCTGGGCAGTGAGAATCTTGATAAATGGTTCTGTGTTGTTGTGTTTCAGTTTCTGGTCTCTTAATTGCAGTAGCACTTCTTGGAAGGGGCCACACAGAGGTTAAGTGAAATAGAGCCTGCCAAGCTGCCGTGTCCCCGTAGGCCCCGGGATAGTGCTGCTCTCTTCCTTTCCTTAAGTAAATGGCAATCATAGGTGAGTGAGAGCTGCTGTCTCTGCCTTTTCAAAAAACTAACATTTTTATATCTACCCTTTTCTTTTGAGAAACTTTTTGAACTCATAAGACAGATAGTAGGAGAGTCTCTTCATCTGCATTCACCTGTTGACGTTTTTTTATAGTTGCCTTATCTTGGTGTTTTCTAAAAGTTTTTGTGTATTACTCGTTTATATCCGTCTTCATTTTGTACATTTTTTCATTCGATTGTACTCCCTGTGGACTTCTTCCCATCACCGGTTCACTCACCCCTGTGTCATCGCCGTAGTCCTGTGCTCTCTTCCCACCCCAGTTTTGATCCCATTCCTCTCTCTGCCCGCCCCGCACCCCTTCCCTCCACCCCCGGCAGAATGTCCCTGGCTTATGGTTGTCCTTTGATTTTGTTTTTACTTTACTACAGTTGTTTTTATTCCCCCCGATCTCTTAACACTCTCATATGAGTGAGACTATCCGGTATTTTTCTTTTTCCTTCTGGCTTATCTCACTGAGCATGGTCCCTTCCAGCTCCACCCATGTGGCTGCAAAAGGCCTGAGTTCATCTTTTTTGACTGCTGAGTAATAGCAGTCCATTGTGTATACGTACCACCTCTTCTTGATCCAGTCATCGATGATGGGGCATTTGGGCTGATTCCACATCTTACCTATACGATGCTCGTGCTCAGTGACTGACTCTGACAGCTACAGTGTTAGAGGGACATGCTGAAATAGTTAAAAATAGAGAAGCGCTCTCTCCACGACCACCGCAGGGCGCTCAGTGAAGCGGCGTGACGCGCCTCGGCAGAGGGGCATCACGGGCACGCAGTTCCTGCCCGCGTTTCAGCCCCGTGCCCAGCGCTGTCCTTTGGAACAATGGTTTTTCATCCTGACCTGGGTCACACACCAGATTTAGTTGTCAGGACTTTTTCATCTCCTTTCCAACTTTACCTTTTAATCGCTTACTGTCCACTTTTTGGGATTATACTAGAGTGACTTCTTTAGGCTTTCTGACCCGTCACAGAGAGTACATTCTTAGTCACCTCACGCATTTGTAAACATCTTGAGAAAAACAGGGGGACTATCCCTACTCTTCTGCTCAGGCAGGCCCCCACGTGGGCTGAGCAGCAAGCTTTCAGAACTGCCCTGGAGCTGGGCTGGGAACTCTGGCTCAAAGCTGGGCTGCCCAAGAGTGATTGGAAGCAATTAGAAGATGATGGAGAGTTTCAATACAACGAATTGTCGTACTGGCCTTTTCTACCTTGCAGTCTGTCCTGGGATGGGACTGAACGTGACAAGCTGAGACTCTAAAGAGCCCTGTACTGTCTGCTGTGGCTGCAGTGAAGTGATACACGGCCACGATTAGCAGGGAGACCACGTGCCTTCCTTAGTGTGGTGGTGGGGTCCTCCCTGGGGTGAGCAGCATGAGTGGGTGGAGCTCTCAGGCCTCCCGCAGCCTTGCAGACCACCTCCTCTGCATCTCTGCTCCCGATTGTGGAAAGCCTCATCTGAGACTGGTCCCTCGTCATGCACCAACTGAAGCCACCAGAATGTCAAGTGCCGCTGTGGGTGTGCTCTGTTCAGCCAGGCTTGAATTGGTCACAGGAAAGTCTTTGGGGATGTTTCTAAGGTAAATTTTAGATCCACAGGCATATTTCTCTCCGTGGTAGAGATCCAAGGTTAAGGGCAAAAGTACTCCCTGCCTGTAGACATAGGAAGGGCTTCCACACGGGGTTGCTGGGTGCGTGTAGCAGTCCAGGAGACAGAACAAGGGAAACGGCGTGAGCGCGGCGGACATGCGCACAGCCTGGGCCTCAGCTGTGCCTGGGCTTCCGGGGACCCTCACCGCACCCCCCGCAGGGCAGCGGTGGGCTCTGCCTGCCCTCCGGAGCAGCTCTGTTTGTGCGCCGTGCTTGACACTGAAGGCCAGCCTCAGGTGCGGTGTGCCAGGACGCCTGCCCTGAGGCTTCCTGCCGCTTCACGGGGAGCCTCAGGCTTCCCTTCTTCACTCGCTGGCTCTCGGGAGCCCAGTGCTCTGCGAACAGAGGCAGCTGTTGACACCGAGTCGAGCAGGGCACCTGGCGGCGCACGCAGGCGGTTTGGAGTTGCTGGTCCATTTGAAGCAGCTGTGCTGCGACACTGCCTTTTATACTGTTATGCCTTCTAAGATGTGGCTTTAAAGTGTGAAATCAGATACCTTTTGGTTAACGCTGTCAGCACTGTGTCACAGCTAAATGCACAGCACTTGCCCCCCTTCTTAGTGACAGCTAACAGGGTGGTACTTAGCAAGCAATAGCAATACAACCGATGGAAGGTTTAGCGTGTAGGATGCCGCACTTCTTCGGGCAAGACTCCCACCAGGTTTTCTCCTGCCGTTTGTTTCCACGCCGGGGACAGTGGCACCGCAAAGCCACACTGGCTGTAACAGCAGCGTTGTTTGACCTCAGGTGTCCCGCTCGTCCTGTAGCCCTGCGCCCAGCAGTGTCTTGCGTGTACTGATACAGGTGTCCTGTCAGGTTTCTTTGGTGATTTTCCACGATTTCTTTGAAAGACTGGGAAGAAGGACCATAAGAACAAGATTCTAGTTAGGAATAATTAGCCAAAAAAGGGAGGAAATTCATTTCTTGATTTCAAGAGAAAACTAAATTATGCAGAAAGAGAAGTCGTAGCATTTCTAGGTGCTTACCGATGTTGACACTAAACACACTGATGCATCCAAACTCAGGACTCTGGGGAGAAAGGAGTGCGGTTTGCTTTGGCTTTTGGCTTTGCAGGGGGAGAGGAGTGAGCTCAGTCAACACCTACAGGCTTTGTTGGGAAGTCACTTTTAATTCCTCTTCCTCCTCAGCTCCCTCTTTCTCATCCGTGTGTCTGTCTATACCTGTCTCTTCTTTATCAATGTGCAGTTTATGTATGAAATTATAGCCCCCAAATGTTAGGCCAGAGTTGTCATTTGTTACCTAGTTGGAAAGAAAGAAGGATACAGAAAAATTCTGCTCTCTTCTTTCTGTATTCTATATTGACTTTTGCTCTTAAACCTTCAGTAAATTGCAAGGGAACCCACGTTACTTGGGATGACAAGGGTTTCATTCATGGGGATCGCGTTGGGGTTGTTGCTGCCTTTGGAAATTGGGGAACATGAAAGGGTTTTGAAGTTGGAGAAAGCCCACTGGACACCCCAGAAGAAGTGAGGAGAAGAGCGTGAGCCAAGAGAGCGGAGGGTGGATAGGATCGCTCTCCAGAGACGTCAAGGTGAGGATGCATTTTGAAAAGAGAAGCAAGCCATCATTCAAAGTTCCAGAAAACTCAGGGATGATGGAGACTGGCTGTGAGGATTCCCTCAGCGGCAGAGGCCTGCCTTGGCACTGCTGTCAGGGTGCCAGGGGGTAGAGGGAGGACGCCGGAAGGTGGTTCCTTGGTTTGCCCCAGGGTCTCTCAGCCTCAGCGCCAAAGACTGTGGGTTCTGAAGAGCCTTTGTTACAGCGAAGTGTCCGGCACGGTATAAACTGCCACACCCCAGCTCCCTCTGGTTACGGCAGCCCTGTCTGCCGGCTCTGTCCTCCCACGGGTGCGGACCCAGCCGGGGCAGATGGGAAGCCACAGACCTCCGGGGATGCCCATGACCGGCCGCCTCAGGAAGGGACCATGACTCACGGAATGCAGAAGAGGCTGCTTAACTCTTGAAATCCGTGCCGAAGTGCAGTGACTGAGTACGGGTGTGCAGCCGCCTCTGTGTGCCTACCCCTGTTGGCGACACTCGAGTCTTTCAGCTGGCGTGAAACTCACAGACTGTGAGCTGCATCCGGCAGGCATTGTAGGCGCAGGTGCGCCTTCCCGGGGCAGACGCAGAGCTGGGGTGCTGTGGGCTGTAAGAGCAGAGGTCCGTTTGCCTTGTTTACATCTGTGGGCTTGGAGCAGTGCGCAGTTCAGCAGCGAGACCGTGTAAGAAAGTTCACGTTTTGAAGGGAGGCCTGTCGAGAAATGCCCTTAGGTACCTCTGCCTGAGTCCGCTGTTTGTGCAACTGGTGTGTTTATATGGATGTGACTGAGCAAAGTTAATTGTTTTTTTTTTTTTTTAATTAAAAAAAAAATAGCTTGAAGTTCTTGGAAACAAGTGCTTCCTTCCAAACAGGATTTGATGATTCCATCGCACAGTGATGCAGTGGAATGCAGGGTGATGGTGGTGTAGTGCCCGCTCACTGTACCCTTACCCCTAAGAATTTTGAGGGTCCTCCCTCCCCTTGTTACAGAAGTTGCAGCATCTCCCTGTGTGGACTGGATGGCTAGTTCTCTCCTCCCCGACAGAGCCCACTGCCGTTATCACATGGGATCCCCTGTCTTTAAGGCTACTGCTTCACAGCCTTGCTTCTACTCAGACCAAGCCAAAAGCATCTTCCTTCCTTTTCCTTGTTGTTTGCTTATTAGCAAATCTTGCTCAAGACCAGCCTTGGGGAGGACACCTTCAGTTTTCATTGAATCCATTTGTGGCTTCATAGGAGGATGGAGCAATTAGTTCTGTGTCTGAATCACTGAGGAAAAGCACAAAATTTCTGCTGCGGAGCCTCAGAGAGCAGTCAGGTCAGAGTTCACAGGTGAATTGAGGATTATGCCTGTCCCAGAGGCAGGACGTGTGCTCTGTATGTATTAACCAGAATTTGCTTGTCTGCAGGGAGAACGCTGGAGAGCCAGACTCCTGGAGCACCTTATCCTATGAGATTCCTTGTGGAGACTGTTCTGTGAGGCACCATCGAGAGTTAGACATCTATACGCTAACCTCTGAGTCCGAATTGCGGCATGAACCCCCATTGCCTGGAGACCCTTGCACTGGCCACATTTCTAAACTTAAGAACATTCAGCAGCAGCTAACGGTAAGGACCATCCATCTCCAGGCCTCTGTGCTCTCAGCCCTTCCCCAGTGACCTTCACTGTGATTAAAACATGAAATGCTTCCCTCGCGGGTTGTGGGAGCTGCCAGGGCGCATTCGCAGTTAGGTGTTAGCACTGGTTAGGACTGACCCTCGGTTGTAGCAGCGGGGACTGCCGGGATTGGAGATAATGAAAGGTACATGTACACATTGCTGGTGCAGAAATAGGTGATAACTAGAGCTACATTTTCCTGGTATAAAAGAAAACGCGTCTGTTTGCTTAACTTTGTAAAATGAAATTTGCAAGATAGCTTCCGAGACTGTTGCTAAAAACAAGAACCCAATTTCTTCAGAAAGAAAGCCTTTTCACAGTTACTTCAGTGAGCGATGATAGTGTTATTACATCTAAATCGAAAGTCACACGGTCGAAAGATCACTAAATAAATATATACATACATAAATAAATAGCTTTATAATTCACTCAAGCCTTCAAGACAAAGTTGTTGTCAGACATAAAAACATTACAGGTTCCTGGCGGCATTTGTCATGGAGAATGTAAGTATCACATGGGTACATCTTCCTTGGCCACAACATCTGAAAGGCTAAATTTAGATAATTTTCCACGCAGTTTACTTCAGAACTGATTTGATTTGGGAATATCTTGCAAGTAATTTCATTTCAGGTCAGGTAGGGTCAGTTCCAGAGGCTTCTTTGGGAGCTCTGTATTTGAGGGCAGTGGCCAACACGCTTCATAGAAAGGCGGACAGATGTGTGTGCCGGGCCTTGGAGTCCTGCTTGCTCTAGCACTAGGACAGGCGTCTTTCTGTTCCCCCTGGCTGGGCTTTCAGAAGCCAGATGCCCCTTTAGAGTGCTATTTGGGAGGTGAATGACAGTACGCTTGAAAACAGGCGTTTGCAGGGGCCCAAGCTCCCAGCAAGATAGGAGGAAGCCAATGGCTGGAAACCATGAGAAATTAAAAGTGTGCAAGGATGGGTATGTCTGGAGCCTCTAAAAATGTCCAGGCCACCCAGCTCATTCCCCCAGGCTGACCCTTCTTGAGATGTGATGGCCTGTCCTCATCCTTTGTGGAAGATGAGCTAAGCAGGAAAGGAGCACATTGATCGGAATACTCCGAGCACTGCAGCACAAAGGCTTGAGCGAAGCTCTCTCCGTGTACTCGCGCACAGGCCTTCAGCGTGCATAGTGCATGTGCGCGTGACGGGCTCTCAGCAGTCAGCGCGTAGACAGGAGTAGTCTGAGCACGGGTGTTGCAGGCACTCGGTGTGTTCACTGAGCGAATGTAGCTTAGAGGGTGAGGAGAGTGGTGAGGAGCAGCATCTTTGGCGTGCTGAACAAGTAGTACTGCTCTAAAAAATCGAGGTATTTTAATACAAAGGCAATCAGATCAACTGGTTTGTTTTTCCTTATTTTTCTAAATCTTGTCCACATGTACAGGGAATCTTTGCAAATTTTTAACCCTCCGTTTTACTTACTTATTTTTGACTTATTATAAATGCCTTAAACATTTCGCTGGGTTCTTTATAGTTGACATGTACGTAACAGTGCACCCGGTTATCTTGATCATTCCTGTGTGGCTGGTTATTTGTTTGCATTAAGAAAAGCAGACAGACTCTAAAACAGCCAGAAGTGTTTTTGAGGCGCAGAGTAGTGTCCTAAGCCATGTCCATCTGCGAGTCAGCGAGAGTCCGCGCTCACAGTCTGGTCGGTTCTCACTGATTATTCAGCCTCAGACGGACAGCACAGGGATAGTTTCATCCAAAAGTGAAAGAACACGGTGTGCTGCCCCTGGGTCTGTGACTCCTTTGCCAAATGCTGGCTTGGATGGGCCTGTTGTGGGGACGCCGGGTTGCCCGGTGACGCTCGGAGGGTTTGTGGCCCGGAGTCCCGGCCTGTGCCCTGGTCGCCAGAGCTGCCCAGGCTTCGACCTGTGCGTGAGGCGGGATGGGAGCAGCCTCCCCCGCTGAAGCCCCTTTTAAAAATACGTTTCTTAGCTGCTCATTTGAAAATAGTTTCCGTACTTTAAAAAATAAGGATTTTGTGGCTTAATTTTAATCTGTTTTCTCAAATAAGTTCCTGATACAGAAAATGGCCATCTCGTGTATTCATTGACAGTTCATTCCAGCTGTGAGGGCAGAAAGCGGTATCAGGAGGGGGCAGTGCTGGTTCGTGTTTATGTCAAGATTCACTTTGTGCGACTTCAGAGGGCCGGATGGCAGTGAGTCTGTCCAGCAGGGTCTTTGCTTCTAGGCTTTAGCAACATGTTTTCCCAGAGACAGTTTTTAAAATGCATCTTTTACTTCTTCCAGAAAACAAACTTGAAGCAGGTGGACAGTGTTCTGCCCTCAGTGGTGACAGCGCTGGGTCCTTCATGTCTACCCAGCGGCCCAGCAGCAGACGGCCAGTGTCGGCCCCACACATCAGAGCCCACAGCCAGCCTTCCGCTTTCTCTTGAAGACTCTGAGAGCTTTCCAGGCTGCCCGGGGAGCCCAGCTGAGCACATTGGACAATCCCCTGACGTCTCAAGCGTGCATAGGGAGAATACAGGCTGTTCCTGTCGGAAGGACAGTAGAGGCATGGAAAGCACAGGGGAAGAAGCAGAGCTGACACCACCGGTGGCCTCTGGCGCTCTGTCCGATCCCCGCGGAGGGGCAGAGCACACGGGAGGCCTCCTGCCCTGCAGAATCAGCAGCGCAGGGGTGGGCACAGACTCCTCTGTAGAGGCCACAGACCAGGAGTCTCCAAGCAGGCGCGACAGTGTTCTGCGGGGGGCCCCGTTGGGGGAGCCAGGCACGGCCCTGCCTTGGTCTGTAGGGCCAGTCGCCCATCCTGCCTCAGAGAGCACGGGGGCAGCAGCAGAGTCTGGGCTCGGGAGCGCAGAGGCCGCCGGCCCGGGGACTGCCCTGCAGAGCCACAGCGCATCTGGGGCCCCTGGCGTCCCGGTCCCAGAGGGGCCTGCCGGTGTCCTCGGCGCCGTCTCTGCTGCTGCTGTCCGGGGTGGTACCAGCCCCGCCAAGTCTTCACTTGCGCTTACCTTCACTGAGAAGGCTGAAACTTCGGGAAGTGGCGAGGAGAACGATGCCGCCCTGGGAGGTCCAGATGTCCTGGGGATGGTGCCTGCTGCAGAAGCCGGGACTTCAGACGGGTCTGAAGCTGACTCTTCCTCAGTACGTGTGTGCGAGGTGACGTCAGCCTGCAGTTTGACCTGTCCCGGGCCGGAAACAGATGTGAGGCCGCGCCAGGAATGGGCGGTGAGTCCAGCTCACAGTCAGAGCCAAACGAGCACATTTCCCACAGGATCCGCAGCGGAGCAGGACGAACTTCCCGTGGCGGCTGCGTGCCCCCAGAGCTCGGTCACTCCTAGGGGTGCGCTGGCCACAGAGCCGCGTGATGGCCCCACGCCCCCGCCTGCACGTGACCCCCCGGAGCCGCCCGGCACACAGCGCCTGCCCGCTGCCGTCTGCGCGCGAGAGCCGCAGGCCTCTGCGGCCGCCCATGGCCGTGGGGGGGCTCCGCAGCTGCCTGAGCGCTGCTGTCCCCGTGGAGCTGTGGGTGCAGAGGGCGAAGATGGGAAACTGGAAGCATTTAAGGAGGCTCCACATCCACATCCCGCTTTGCCCCAAACTGAGAAAGAGCTGGTACCAGGCCAGGCAGTGACATCAGACAGGGCTTTCTCGCTGGCAGGCGGTGCTGGCGGTGAATCAGTAACCAGAGATGACGCGCTTTCTTTTGTCCCCTCCCTGAAAGAAAAGGGAATAGCAACTCCTGAACAGCACACAGCTGCAGGCTGTAGAGGAGGCCCCGGCGGAGATCGCCCCGGCGGAGGCCAGCAGCTGCTAGACGCCCGGGCGGCAGGCCTCTCGGCTGCCCTTGACCTCCAGCCCGGCATGGGGAACGCCAGCCCCACAAGACTTGCGGGGGAGCAGCAGGCGCCCTGCCTCTCAGCAGCCCCTGCGCGTCCGAGCCTTGAGGGCAGTGCTGACTCTTCCTTCCTGCCTGCGGGGAAGGCCACCTTGGTCGCGGATTCCATTTTGGCCGAGGACGGAAAAAATCTGGTGGTTTCAGAGAGCGCTGCAGCTCAGGGGCAAGACGGCAAGGACAGAACAGCGACTTCTTCCTCCCCGAAGGAGGCCCCTCTCTCTTCAGGAGCTCTGCTGGAGCAGCAGACAGCACCTTCTGGACCGGAGGCCCCAGGACGCCTCGGAGAACCCGCCGCAGCCGCCTGCGCTGCGGACAGAGCGCTTCACAGCCACTTCCCAGGCACACCCTTGGCCTGTGCTTACCCAGAAGCTGCGCGGAAGCAGGAAGCGGCCCCACCAGCTCCACAGCTGCCTGGAGGTGGGGCTGCACTGAGCCTGGTGCCACCAGGAGCAAGCCTGGCTGTCAGCTGCGGCCTAGAGGTCTCGGGGCTGTCAGCTGGGCCTGCCACACAGAACAGCACCCCTCCGTTGCCAGCTCTGTTACCAGATGGGTCAGAGGCTCTCAAGAGCCACCCGTCATTTGCTTTGGATGTGGGTGCGAAAGGCACTCAGAACCTGGGGCAGAGCTGTGCCTGGGAGGTGAGCGGAGACGCGTGGGACGGGGCTGCGGCCGACAGGCCACCAGGGCCAGCCGGGGCCAGAAGGCGGAGCGAGTCACACAGCACCTGGGACCCCATGGCTCCAGAGCACCTGCTGAGCCAGGAGGAGAGCACGCACTGGGGTGTGCCAGGAGCACCCCCTGACAGAGGTGTGATTGACCAGGCTGCTGCAGCCCCTGGAATGGTGCCTCTCTGTGGGAAGAGCGAGAACCTGGAGGGAGCCCTACCCTGTTGTCACCTGGGCAGCCCCAAAGAGGTACAGGTGGAGCCCAGCGACAGGGGAGCCCAGCACCCCCCTCTACAGCCTGCTGCCCAGCAGCCTCGCACTGAGCCAGGGCTCTCAAAGAGTGCAGCTGACCAGACCCCCCTCGGGGAGGGCAGGGCCCTCCCGCCACCCGGCACCGACTCTGCCACCGCCAAGCCTTGGCCTCAGCACGCTGATGCCATCGAGGAGGCTGCCAGTCGCATCGTGGATGCCGTCATAGAGAGAGTCAAGGCCTCTGGAGTGCTGATCACCAAGGCAGGCAGCCATCACGAGCCGCAGTCCAGTGCCCGGGACTTGGCGGGGGCCTCTGCAGGCCACGTGGGTGCCGGCCTGCTTGGGGACACCCCAGGTGAGGGCATCACCCACAAGGAAGCCCCCGGTGCCCTGGCAGGATATAGTGCAGGAAGGGAGGAGCCAGAGCGACTTACTGCATCTGTTCAAGGAGCTGGGCCGGCAGCAGGTAAGCAAAGTAGAACCCAAATTCACCTTTTGAGAGTCAGGTTCCCTCCCGAGTCTCTGCTCTTGGCTGGTAGAAAGACAGGATCTTCGTGGCTGAGCAGTCTTGCTCTTGGTGGGTAGATGGCCAGTGGTGCATCACTACCCCTGAGAGCACGTCATCTTGCAGGCAGAATTGCTTCCTGTCATGTCCACTCCTGGCTGCAGTGCTCACATCCGAACTGTTCTCTGACACACCAGGACCACTGGCCCTGCCTGGGTCTCAGGTGCTCCGTAGTGGTCAGGGCACCAGGTGTGTGTGTCTGTCCCCACGGCTAAATCCTCTCCAGCTGTGGCAGACAGTGTGAAATGGGCTCCATAGAGAGAGCCTGGAGCTCTCTCTATGCCTGCCGGCCTCCTCTGTGTCCTGAGAGACTCTAGAGACCCATATCTCACGCACAGCTCTAGCCTTTGAAGCTTGGCCCACACCCGAGGTGGTGGTGGTGGGGCATCGGCGAGGTGGGGCGCCGCCCTCCTCTTCCCGTCAGAGCAGCAGGTCTCCAGGGCTTCTGGGCAGCCGTCTGGGGCGCTGGGCCCGTGCCGCGTGGGGACAGGAGGCAGGATTTCCGCCCCAGCCCTGTCTGCTGAGCCGCTGTCGGCAGACGTTGCGTCTGCTTATCTGGGTGCAGCAGCTGCAGAGAGCAGATTGCTCACACAGCAGCCCGTCCCATCTGTGGGTAGCCATGGCCAAAGGACACAGCCGCCGCTGTCATGCCGTGAGCCAGGCTCCCTGAGCGGCGCTTCTCGGGGTGGAGGCCGGAGCTGAAGCAGAGCCGACTCGGCCGGCCGGCGCGGCCCCCCGCAGCACTGCCTGGCACCAGGTACTCACAGGCGCCTGTGTCCCCGCTCTGGGAAGCGGTGGCCTCTTCTGTTTTCACTGCTGAGTTTTTTTTTTGCTGTTGTCTCATCTGTGAAATCCTTGTCCCTGTAGTAGGGTAGGTGTCAAGAGTGTGGGGTGGTAAGTGGAGACAGAGCACCAAGTAGGAGGAGGAAGTGGTTGGGGTAAAGAGCAGCTTAATGAACAGTCGTCGTTTTCCCTGACAAAGAGCCCTTAGCCGGTTGTGACCTATTTTCTTTTCCCCAGTTGAGGGATTTAAGAAACCCGAGGTGGTATTTCTTGTGACTTTAGGTTTTCAGTTTTGCTAACGTTCTGAGGGTAGAATGTCTAAGCAGCAGAAGTTGTCAGCTGCTATCTCAGCCTACACAAGAACATCATGGTTTCTAGGAGAACGTACAGCAGGTCTATTTTGGGGGCTGCGGCAGTTGGCATTTCAGAAGGGGTGGCTGTAAGCTGATGCGGGCTGTGTCCTTTTCGTCTGGGTGCTGAGGGTTTGGCCACAGGGCTGGGAGACTCCTCTCCGGCTCCATGGTCAGCGTTTAATTCAAGCGAGTATAAGCTTTTTGAGGTTTACTCCATGGCACTCTGAGAAAAGGAAAAAAACCAGGGAGAATTTCAGAGCTTTGATTTTTAGTAGTACATAAGAAGCAGTAAGGATGTTAAGAAATGATTTTTAAGACCTTAAGGTTTTAGGAAAGAAGACGAGACGTGTGAAGCCTCCACGGTCTCCGAGTGGGGGCTGGTGGGTATGTGTGGGCGACTGACTTGTTCTCCCAAGACAAGTCATAGAGCTCGATGCTCGTGGTGTCTCACCGGAGAGAGAAGTGACCCCGGGCTTTCTCCACAGTAGGCAGGCCGGGGAAAGGCCCTCTCGCCATTGCCTGTGCAAAAAGCACCTGACCATGACCTCAGAGCTGGAGGGCATGTTCTAGGAAGTGTGCACCCTCCTGAAGTCAGCCCGCTGCCCGGGGGCGACACGGGGTAGCTGCTGATCCAGAAGCCCCACGGCCTGCTTCAGTGTTTGCATACTGATGCCTTAGCTGGGGCCCCGGGGACATCCAGACAGAAAACTCAGGGAAAGGGGACTGGGGCCCTTCACCGGGCAAGAGCATGGTGCTGCTCTGTGGGCTGCCCACCCCCGGGGCTCAGCATCACTGTTACCACGGCGACCTGTTGCTGCTTGCCAAGGCACATATTTCCAGTTGATGGCACAGATAGTGGGGTGTGCCAAAGATCACATCCCCAAATAAGTAAAAGCCAACAACAACCAGAGAAGAGCTTACTCTGACTCAGAAGTGTTTGATCAGGGAACCCGGATTCTAAGGGGATTACTTAGATGTTTCTTCTTAGATTTAGTCACATTTATCAACTGTAGACAGCCTTGGTTCTTGGGCAAGGCAACTCGTTTGCCTGTTTTTAAACTGCTACTAAGATTATGTAATTCCAAAGGCAGAGACAGAAGAGTGCAGATCTATAAATGTTCACGTGCCACTGTGTGCCGTTAGAACAGTCTTAAAAAAAAAAAAAAAGATTAGGCATAGATGGAGGCGGGTTTAGAGGATTCGCCAGTGAGAATGGGGAGCAAAACAGGCGGATCTACTGAAATCCACTGCTGAGGGGAGCAGCGGGGAGACAGGAGCGGTCTGCTGCGCCGTGCGGGTGCCTCCTGGCCGGCGGGTTTCGGACTCGGGCCGCAGTGGCCGCGGTAGCGGGATGAGGCTGTCTAACCCCTGGTCGGTACGTGGGTTCTGCAGTGAAGGAGGCTCCGCGCTTGGTGTACGGAGCATTCTCCGGGCGAGCCAGGGCGGTGGCTCGCCTTGGTCAGTGCGAGCTACGGAAACTTCCCCTGGGAAACTGAGTCAGTCGTGCCGCCTGTATGTGGCTTGTCATGGTGAATTTTGGCTCTTCACTCATCAGCTCCTTTAAGAAGTGGTGTGAAAAAACGTAAATTCCCTTCAGACATTATTTTGGCACTTCTGTGTTTCTCGGCCACGTGACGGTCAGATAATACAAACCGCTGCCGTCCTGTGTGTCGAGTGTAATTTTAGAGAAGACTTTTCCCTAAGAAAAGGAGTTGCCACTTTGTGAATATGTTATGGTCTGGGAAGAAGTGAATTTAAACACAAAGTGACACTGGAGCAGTTCGGTCTTTCCACTCTCGGGCAGGGTGTGGTGTCCCTGTACAAACACTTCACCTCTTGCCACTTTGGCGGCGGCAGCTGGACTGCGTGGCTTCGGCCCGCCGGCCGGCCGGCCCTGAAAGGCACGCGTCTGCGTCTCCACATGCCAGCCAGTTCCCCACGCATCAGCTGTTCCGGACAAGTCAGTAGTGAGAATGGATGGTCAGTGGCGTCAGCCGGAGCCCCCTTAGCTCCGCCCACAGGGCGGGGAGACCCAGCAGGTGTGGGGTGCAGAAGGACGTCGCCGAGGGGTCAGAAGTGACGCTGGCATCTAGACACGAGGGACTGCTTTTCCACTTAGGACAAACGCCAACCAAGCCGAACGCACGAGGCCGATGTGTGCGCAGTGAGGCACAGCACTCGCTGTTTCAGATGCGCTTTGTAACCATTACCTTGTTCTCTTCAGAAATGCCAGACACGAAAGCGGAAGACGAAGTGGACTTGCGGGCTAGCTCCAGGCGGAGTCCAGCGTCTGAGGAGGTGGTTGAGGGCAGCAGTGCTGCTCCTGAGCCCCAGGCGAATCCGCAGACGCAGGCGGTGAGTGGAGCCGCGTTTATTTCAGCACAGAAGGTCCCAGCCGGGTCTGCTGGGCCTGCTTTGCAGTATGGTTTCTTTCTGTGTTGGAGATTGTTGTTGTCGTCATTCTCTCTCTCTCTCTCTCTCTCTCTCTCTCTCTCTCTCTCTCTCTCTCTCTCTCTCTCTCTCTCTCTCTCTCTCTCTCTCACACACACACACACACACACTCCACCCCACCCCCACCCCCCCGCAAACATAGGTTGTTCTAGTGAAGCCTTCCAAAATGGCATGCACCTCGCAGTCGAAGTTTGGAGAGTAGGGTAAAAAAGATTTTCCCTGTGAGCACAAAACCTCAATTTTCATCATTTAATGTGTCACAAAATAAGAATTAACCACAAAAAGGGATTTCTTGACCTTTCTTATACCCAAATTCTTCTTTCTTTAAATAGAAACTGATAGCTGCAAAGGTGAGATTTGGACTTTGAGCTCAGTACTCTAAAATACAAAGAAGGTCATTTGTAGGACAAGAAAAAGCTTCAGTAAGTTTTCTGAATAACGGCTTTATTGGGAGAGCATTCGTAGGCCATGAAAACTACATCCAAGTAAGGTACACAGGTCATTCGTTTTTAAACATTTAGAGTCTTGCAGCCGTCACTGCTGTCTAACCTTAGAGCATCAGCATCACCCCAAAGGAGCCTCATCTCGCTGAGCCTCAGCTCCCGGCGGCCACTGGCTGCAGTGTGGCCTCTGACTTCACGCCTCTGGAACTCACATACATGGAGCCAGACTACCTGTGGTCTTTTGAGACTGGGGTCTTTAGCGTGTTGTAGGGGTCTTCTGTGGGACGTTGGGCAACAGACTTCTCTTTATTGGCATGGACAGCCGTGAGTGTCCGCACTTCCCGCCCGGTGAGTGCTGCTGTGAGGTGCCATGTTTTCCTCCTCTTCACAGACCAGGCGTATTTCCCCAGGTCGCCCGGTAACCCGGTACTTAACATCCAGCAAAACCTCAGAAGTGCTCTCTGACGCGGTCTTGTGGTTCTCTCTCCTATTGTTTATAACTGTCAACTTTTAAACAAGGGCACTTAAATCTGCTGAAAGAATCAGCTTTCAGTTACAAGGTAATGAAAAGAGAACCTTTTGGAAGTTGACCTTCTGGAAATTCAGGTTATTGAAGTAAATCACATTGGCCCTAAAAAACCCATCTGCCGTTTCTGGACTTGGCAGAGCCTGGGCTCTTTGCTCCGCAGAGGGCTGAGTGGTATTTTTCCTTACAGCACTCCAGTCAGCAAACAGAACTGTGCCCTCCCCAGCTGGCTCGGAGTCTCTGAACTGTGATAAACACGCTGGGGTTTGGAGCAGTGTGGGGAGGTGCTGGCGTTGTGACCGCCCCCTTGCAGATACTGTGTGACTAATGGGGCGCCCCCCCCCACCGCCCTCCACTGTGGCAGGCATTATTCAGACAGCAGGACACGCCCGGCATGGGTGCATGTGTCTTTGTTTCCAGCATCCCTCAGAAATGGAAAGAACACACTCATATCCTTGAATTCAGATGCCCCCTTTCTCAGCCTTCCTCGTCATGTTCCGGCCTTTGGTCCAGTGCTGTGCCTGATGCCTGATGGGTCATTTTATCCTGACTGTCTTATCTGGTGTAACAAAGAAAACGAACTTTTTTTTTTAAAGTTCCTCCTCTCCTGTTCTCTTTTTTCATGTTTGCTCTCCCTTTTAGAAGCTCAGAGACATCATTTTTCCTGACTGGCCCGCACGCCTCATTTTTACAGATACAAGAAATAGTGCCCGCAAGACTTGCAGGGCCAGCCCAGGTCAGGCCCAGCTGGAGGAGAGCTGGGAGCTGATTTCACACGTCGGGCTTAGGGGCGCCCCTCCTCCTTCCCACGCCGCGGCCGTGGCCGAGTGGCAGGGCGTTGAGGCCCGGGTCCTGCGCTCGTGTGCCGCTGCGGGCTGCCAGGCCTGACGCTGTGTCTGCTCCAGCGTGAGGCACCTGCTGGAGGAGGCATCTGTTCGGGGATTTTCAGTTCTTGAAGATGTTTAAATCTGAGTCTAGAGGTTTGTGTCTGCGTCATTACTGTGCTGTGACTCTGAGCGCGCCCCTCTCCTGTAGCGCTGCCAGACCGGCCCACTCGCGGTGAAACTGGGGCACACACACTGATTTTTCCCACTTTCTTTTTTCCCCACTTGAACTCTTCAGAATCTGTATTCGTCATGTATGTTTTCACTGGGTCTACACATCTCTTGTTTGAACGGGAAGATTGTAAACACTAGCCTGTGGGCGCACAGTCTCTGCCTCCGTGCAGCAGCTTCCCACTGCAGTGTGAGAACAGCTGTGGGCCTGCGTAAACAGAGCGCGATTGTGTTCCTAGAAGAGCTTCTGTGGACTCTAAAAAATTGGACTTTCATAAAGCGCTCGTGTGTCAGGAAGTGATTTCTCTTTAGAAACGTAACATCCGCCCCAGGTCTGTCTGTGCCCCACACCACACACCACAGCAGGCGGTGGCTGCTGGCCTAGAAAGTAATTGAGAATCTGTGGCAAAAAGAATGAGAGAGAAGCGGACTTTCGGAATCACTTCGTTTGTGCCGTGGTGGGAGGGTGGCAGCCTGGCCGCTCAGCCGGCCCTGCGCGGCCTCTCCACAGGGCACCTGCTCGCGTCTTCACCGTGACCGGTGACCTTCTAGATGTGTCTGCGGGGTGGAAGGGCTGCACGAGCTTGGGGCGGTCATCAGGTGGAGTGGCGTGTCTGAGAAAGTCACTCCGGCAGTCTTTCTGACACATGTCCCTGTGCTGGCTTTGGGGATGGGCCCTCACTGCTTCCCCGAGTCACTGAATTGTCCTCTGCCAGGTATAACGCAGGAAGCATCTGTATACCTTTGGCTTCACTGCCATCTCGGAAGCCAGAACAGTAGTGCATTGGCAACAATTTTATAGTACATGTGAAGAATCACATTTTTTATCGACATAGAAGAATGGGGAGTAGGCCAGACGTGCCAGGGAGTGAGAGGATTGCCCAGAGACAGTGGGGAGCAGAACAGGAGAAAGAATCAATCTTAAATTCTTCTGGGAGGCTTCCTTTCTGGTAACCTGCTCAAAACACGGACTGTCCTCGGTGTGCAGGGAGCCCTCCTGAGGCGGCATCACGGGGCGCAGAAGGAAAAGCCTTCCGGTGAGGTCCTGTCTTCTTCAGTCCCGTCGTCTCATATCCGTCAGACAAACTGAGTCGGCGTTTCTCATTCCTTCATCTGCTTGACCAGCCCTGACTTAGAGGTCAGTGATGCTTAAAATCATGACCTGTAAGTGGCCTAGGCGATGTCAAGTTTTCTGCGTCTGCCCTGAGCGGGCCCCTGTGTGCTGAGTGCTGTGTGGGGCAGTGGGCAGCGGGCAGCGGGCAGCGGGCAGCGGGCACGCCGCTAAGGCCAGAGCGCTGCCTTCATTCTCTCGCTGGCACCAGCAGTAGCTGCAGCGTGATACTCAGCATGGTCCCCTCTTACCTAAGCTTCTAGTTTCAGAGTTCTCAGATTACCTTCTGTTTTCTCATCTTGTTGGTGAGTTAGTGTGTATCAAGCACTTAGAGCTTGACACACAGGGAGTACAGCTTGGCACTATTACTAGTCATTTGTTTCTTCGGATTCCAGTGTCCTCACATAAGTAACGTGGCGTGTGGCGATTCCGAAAACAATCAAGACTCAGTTTTTTCTTTCTGAGCATTCTTATAAAGTCTCAGGAGTAGCGTGGAAATGAAGTCGGGAAATGTAAAGTTAGTTTAATCTCTGAGACCTCTAAAATCCGAATGACCCTTAAGGCTGATGAAAGAAGAAATGGATTCAGAGTGGCTCAGTCTTGTTGCCTCGTGTCACAACTGGTCGGCGTTGTGAGCTGAACTGGAGCTTTGCTCCTATCCGCCGTTTCCCGAGCAGCTTGACTGTGACTTCCTGAAAAGTTACTCTGAGGACCCACTTCTGGAGAGCCCAGTTGACTTGGCTCTGGGATGGGGTTTCGCACAAGTGCTCCTGGATACCACGAAGTCTCACTCACAGCATTGCACTCTCCCGCCTGCAGTGAGAGTTGGAGAAGCTCCTTTGGCCTTTTTTGGAGCTAAGCTGACTCACTCTCATGTTCTTAGAGTGTTCAGCTGCAGATAAACACTAACAAGAATTTGTTCACAGTGTTTAGCTTTGGCACAGAAATTACTGAGTTTTTCCAGAGCCACCTTTTAATTTCTTAAAGAACAGCATGACTCGGTGCAGAGACGCCATTGAGTACCAAGTACAGAAAGCAAGCCTCCAGGGCGTGGTCGCCAGTGCCCACGGAACCGTGGCTCCTGCTCCGTCACTGTAAGACCGTTAGCTGCCTGGGAGAGTGAACCCAGCAAGGAGCATGTCCTGTCGGGATGCACGTGGCCCTGCAGCAGATGCTCAAGAACAAGCATGTTCAGATGCGGCCCCAAAATCCCATATGTTGAGTTTGGGGTCAGTGGGAAAGGCCGCCCTCCACTTAACCGGCGCTCCCTCTTCACTACATAACTCCACCCTGATGTCCGGCAAACTGAATTTTCATTCCTAATTACATTTACAACAATGGATTTGTTTCTTCGAGGTGGGAGCAGCTTTGTTGAACTGTTTCCAGCTTAATGTGTTCTTGAATTCCCCGCCCTTTCATTATTCTCAGCCGCACGCTGTTTTCAGCCTCTTGTCTGAAGGGGGCGAGCTTGCGACTCTCCCTAGCCTCGCGCTGGTTGAAAGCTTCAGTTTTGTGTGTCTGCCCATGGCCTCCACACTGTGGTTAGCTCTTCAAAGATCTTAGAACTGCTCACAACTGCCAGACACACCCCAGTTTGCAAAGTGACTGATGTAGCAGTAATCCAAGCTAAAAAATAAACGTAATCAGGAAAGTGAGGAGGAACATACACCAGCAGCGCGAGAATGGAAGTATGGGTGGTCTGTGCCGCCTGGGGAATAAGAAGGGTGCTGCTCCTGATGAGTCTCCCGCGGCCAGCGGCCACTCCACTT